CTAGTGCGTAGCGCTACTGCGTAAATCAATGAATGTCCTCGTAGAACCACCATGGCTTATGGCTGTTTGTTGACGATTTCCTGCTGACCCAACCAAAGTCCATCCTCCCATTGTTTGCAACTCTGCTTGCACTCTTCTGTCGAGTGTTCCGTATACCTCTCAGTTGGAGGAAGTGCACCCTTGGTCCCATGGTCGATTGGATCGGATGGCGATTCAATTTCTTCAATGGTCTGGTCAGTCTTCATTCTGAAAAACAAAGCAAACTCATTGCCCAGATAGAGGACCTTCTCAACCATCGTCATTGTTCTAGCAAACAGCTGGAGCGCTTTCACAGGCCTTGCGTTGTGGATCACTCAGTTATTTCTTCCCTTTCGGGCCTTGCTGCACTGGTTGTTCTCAGACCTGCACACATGTCCTGCCACCCACTATAGTGTCGGTCCAGGATACTGGACATTAGTGAAGTCGTGTCTCTCTGATGACCTCACCTTCATCAGTACCCCTTCCGGAACTGCGATTCCCAAGAACTCTAAACTGATCTCCGTTCGACATACTCCTGTCCAAACCCTGCAGGAAGTAGAAGCGGTTAGATTGACAGATAGACGATTGTGGCTTCGTATCATAAATCCTAGTTCGCAACAAAGAAAACTGTCTGTTCACAGTCGTCGTGTACTGAAGTTATGGCTTCGATGGTTAGCAGTCTCAACTCCTCTTCGGACCATGCGCCCTTCATTTCAGGCACCCATGCAAGCAGCCGCCGACGCCTCTGCCCAAGGGGACCTGTTTCAAGTCGGCGGTTTTGTTGCCTCCAAGCAACGAATCTTTTGGTTCGCTGAGCGGTGGCATGTCCATGAGATTAAGAAGTTCGACATCCCAGTTCGACCAGAAGCCCAGCGTGATATTGCAAGTTATGAAACACTCGCCCAAGCATCTCTTGTACTTTTGTGCATAGCATTGTGTCCCCACGCATGCGTTCCTCTGCACTTTAAAAGTCTCAGTGATAATGCTGCTACAGAGGCTAGTGGTAACAAGCTCTTTACCACCTCAGCCCCGTTGTGCTATTTTGTCGAACATTTAGCACATATCCTAGTCTCGGCACGAGTCACTTGTGATATTTCGCACATCCCCGGAAGTTTGAACCAAGATGCTGATCTCCTCAGCCGATGGAATTTTCATGATCCCTTGCCCGTCAAATTCACAGCGGACACGAGGCATCGAATGAGCCTCGAGCATTTCTTCTCGTTTCACCGGGGAGCCCAGATTCATCCGGAAACCTTTCCGGTACAATGGTCGCTTGATCACCATTGACATCTGCACTTTTCATTCCACTGCCACTCAGAGCGCCTAGGGATTCTTTTACCGAGTGTTGTTGGAATGCTGCTTGGTGATAACTGTCCCAACAACCTCTGAAGCAACTATTGGCAGTGA